TCACCTCCCGTATTGACTATTGTAGTTCTCTTCTTTTCGGCCTCCCTCATAAATCTCTCCATAAACACCAAAATCTTCAGAATTCAGCAGCTCGTGTCATCACATGAACCCCCTCCTTCCATCATATTTCCCCAGTTCTTCACCAACTCCATTGGCTCCCAGTTCAATTCAGAATACAATTTAAAATCCTTCTCTATACTTTCAAAGCCATCCATAACCATAATCTCTCAGATCTTCTTCACATTGCCATCTCCTCCTGCTCCCTTAGATCCTCCTCCTCCATCCACCTCACTGTATCCCCAGCTCGACTTGTCACCATGGAGCAGAGCCTTCAGCCGCTCTGCTCCCAAGCTCTGGAACTCACTTTCTCCTGACCTCCGCAGTATTGACTCTCTCCCCTTAAATTAGGTATTTCCTAGCAACAGCCCTGAAACATCACTTCTGTAGAGGAGATCGGATGGACAAATGAAGCAAAATAACATCTACAGTCTGAGAAAACTGGAGGAGACGGACAGGAAACATCCGACCTCACCGAAAACAACGGTTAGATACAAAGTGTTCAGTTCAATTTTTGTTACTGAACAAATCCTGATTTTTTTTTTATATATATATTAAAATTATTTACAATCCTACAATATAATTTCCTGGATTTCTTTTCCTATTATGTCTCTCAGAGTTGAAGTGAATCTACAATGAAAATCACAGACAAGGCAAGGCAAATTTATTTGTAAGGCCCATTTCAGTACATGGACAATTCAAAGTGCTTTACATGAATTATTTATCAAAATATAAGAAAAATAAACGCTATATAAAAGCAATTAACCTTATTGCAGAACTCTCATCTTGGTAAATAGGAGAACTTCCACAATAAGCAAGCTTCTAAATAGGAGCTTTTTTCAGTATTTTTACAGGTTTAAAAAATAGATTGAAAGATTTCTCGGAATGATAAAAAAAATTAACCCGTCTAGAGCCTAATCAACCAATTGCATGTGAGCCTTTTAATTAAAATACTGCGATTAACTGTATCAAACGTATAAGTAAGATCAAGGAGAACCATGACAATGGATGCTTTTGAGTAAGCTGACCTCTTAATGTCATTAGAAAGAAAGTAAGTTTCTGTGGTGGAGCTTATCCAAAGACAAACACCTCCAACATGTGAACATTTTACCATCTTTGAAAAGAAAGAGACAGAATAACAAAATCGAAATAAAATAAAGCAAACCAAAGATTATCCAGTTAAAATCGAATACAGCTTTTGTGTAATTCAATAATAATATTGGCCAAAAAAAACCCGTTTAGCAGATTAGTCAAAAAATGTTTTTAGTCAAATCAAAACAGCTGATTAATTACATTATTTAGAAATTTATAGAGATGTTTATTTTATAAAATACATAATTATTTTTATTTTTTTATCATTATTTCATTTTTATTTATTTATTTTTATTTATTAAATACTTATACTAATTCATTGCTAAAGAAGAAACTTTAACTTATCTAACCTCTCTTTTCCCAGAGAAATAAATCATGCAGACTAACAGAAGTGTTTTCAATGTCAGCTGCTGCAACTAAATATTACTTTACAAAACATTTTTGCTTTCATATGAGTAAAAATCTAAGGTTCTACAGGATTCGTCCTCGTCCAGCTTTGAAATCATGTTTTTTTTTTACATCTAGTAGGTCGTGAAGAGAAGCCTTACCACACAGATGACTCATACTGACTGCAACAAGACAGACTCTGTTTTACACACATAAAGGATCCATTTTATCCAAAACATGGATTACAATAAAGTCTTAGGAATTCAATGAAGCATCATTCAGTGTTTTAAGAATACGGCCAACAAATACAGAGAGAGAAATAATTAAAAGATACATTCAGTGACAACTGGGAATTTCTAATCCTACGCCACAGTAACTAGTTTGCCTTTTTTTTTTAGTTGTTAAATGCCTCATTTGATGCATGGATCTTAGTTGTTGCATTTTATTGCTCACTAATATGAGTTTTTTTTTGTTTTGTTTTGTACAATTATTAATAATTTATCAAAACAATTTTCCGGGAAGAAACCAGCAAAGGTCTGGAGGACGTAGACCAGTCTTCCTTTATCTTCTGTGCTCCTTTGATTCAGCAGTATGCTATGGCGCGTAGAGATGATGATATCAGTGTTTTAACCTTTTATCGGACGATTCTTGCAAGCGCTCCAGGATTTATTAGTGCATTCAGCAGCCATACATAACTTCTCCCTTCATCTGCTACAGAAGGGAGTGTTGGCCTAGTGGTTAAAGCAGTGCGCTTGTGCTCTGAGAAGGTTGAAGGTGCCCGGTTAGATCCCCACAGCCTTCACTCTGGGTTCCTGAGCAAAACCCTTAACCCCACACTGCACCCATGGCGCCACACAGTGGCAGCCCACTGCTCCCCAAGGTGATGGGTTAAATGCAGATGTAAATTTCTCCAATGTGAGATCAATAAAGTTCAAATATTATTATGTCCACTGATTGAAAATTGTGTAAGTGGAAGAAGAAGAAGCAATATTGACTCCAAGAATCCCCCTAAAATTATCAGCCACATATATCGGGGAAGAATAAATAAAAAAGAAATAAAATACTGGCCTTAAAAAACCTGTACTGGTCTTAATCTCTAATGGTTAGGAGTCTGTCTAAGTAAGCATTTTGTTGTTGCGGTGATGTTTTTCAGTAGTAGAAGCTGATCAAAGTTAAAGGGAACATGGATGTATTTTTTTTAGTTAGGCTGCAAAATTTAGAGAAATACTTCCATTAGGACAACAAGCGCAAACATACAACCAGAGCTGCGGGAAGATTTACATCAAAGTGTATGAATGTGTTAGAAAGTTCAAGTCAAAGTCCAACTCTAAATCCCACTGAGAACATCTGGCAAGATTTATTTACAAGGGCAAAAATAGCAGATAAATCCCCCAATAAACTCCCAGCTGTTGTTGCAAAGAAATGATGCTCTGTAAAGAACTGACCAGACTGGGATGAGCACCATGAACAGCACACTTTTTGGTTCTCAGTTGTTTTTTTCTTTTAAAATGTATCCCCATCTTTCCACTTCTCAGTTATAAATATCTTTATGGTTGACTATTGCATCCAATCTCAATAAAAATGTGCTAAAACTTGTGGTTTTAATTAGTGTTGTACCGATACCGATACTAGTATCGGGCGGAGCCCCGATCCAGCACTAAAATTGTGGTATCGGTATTGGCGAGTACAAGAGGTGTCAAGTAATGAATTACAAACACTTTATTACTGTACTTAAGTACACTTTTTAGGTATCTATACCTTACTCCATTTCTTACTTTTCTTCCTACTTCTGACTTCTGCTCATTACATTTTCACACAAGTATCTGTACTTTCTATTCCTTACATTTTTAAAACAAACGTTACTCGTTACTCTTGTCTTCGGTTTCATGTCTATAAATCTTTATTTCATGTCATGTGCGCCATCCAATGCAGATCATTGGCTCGATCCACATCTAGTGAAAACTAGTGTAATTGGATGAGTCATTTAACGCAAACACTCATTGGTTAGCTAAAGGAAATCATCAGAAACAAACAGGTGTTCTTCAAACTGCAGACATGAATTGTCTATGCCATGCTACAATGTAGGATTCAGAAAAAGATGCTGAAATGTCTAAAAGGTCGGACACTGGCGAGAGCGTATCGGGAGACGGAGACCAACAAAACCTCCTTAATCCTTGACCCTATCTGAAATAGTCGAAAAATTAAGCTTTCAATTCATATATTGGCATCTGGCCGTTTTTTTTTTTATGGTTACTTTATACTTTTGTACCGTAAATAGAGCACATACTTTTTCACTTTTACTTGAGTAAAGAGGTCAGGCTGATAATTCAACTTTTACCAGACTGTTTTTAAACTGCAGTATCTATACTTCCACTTAAGTAACAAATGTGTGTACTTTTGACAACACTGGTGAGTACCGTCAAATAGGGCACAGATACCATTTTGAGAGCCAAAAGTTTATTCAACTATTGTCACCCATTCCAGGTAGGCAATAACAGGTTTTACTGGATTCACTTTGTATTAGTCTTTTTCCTGCTTCACAAAGGTAGGCAGCAGCTTGACAAAGCAATGATGGCAGTTATTTTACATCCAAGTAGTATGCAGTTCTCCAAAATTTACACACACACATCAATTTCAAACAGATGGTATCGGTATCAGCCAATACTACACAGCCGGGTATCAGGTGTCGGGTATTGGGGCCAAAAGATGGCATCACTAGTTTTACTGTGACAAATGTAAAAAATCCCAAAAGAGGAAGAAGCACTTGTGTGGTCACTGTAGTTTTTGTGTCTTTGAACCAATACAAAGCCTCCTCAGTCATTCACTACATGCTTATTATCTTTGTCTATTTCTTTTAAAGGATTAAAAACATTTTTTTCATAGATTTAGACAGAAGTCAGGGGGACACATGCAATATTCTTGTATGAATTAAACATTAAATTTGCTGTATCTTATGGGATAAATTAAGTGGTAAATCTGATATTTAAACTGATTTCCTGTCTAACAATGCATTGTGGAGTCACTTAAACCACACTAAACCAAACAGGGGCTCCTCAGATGTGACATCACCAAGGTAGACCCCACCCTCCCCTCCCTCAGCCGGTGCATCCAGACCAAAACAACAAGCATACCTACAGCTGTCAAACATCAGCATGAGGATTCCAGATCTCACACACCCCCTCTCTCCTCTCTAGGTTTTGCATTTTAACCATAAATGAGCGTATGAAGCTTTAGCTTGTAAATACATCATAAGCCTGCCCTGACTTTTTATTATTATTATTATTATCTTGTCTGGGCTGTGTCATTAACAGGGCATGATAACTTTGATGTAAACCACTGCAACACTGCTAACTCCCTACATGTTAATTATAATGTTACCAGATAACAGCCGGTAAATTAGTCCTCTGACGTAATAAATAAATAAAGGCGTTGTTGTCATGTTTTGTCTCCTGTAGCTAAAGCCTGAATCCCTGCTGGAATGCCAGAGCTAGCTAGCTTCAGACTAGCAAATAAACCACCGACTACTTTGTTAATATGATAAAACTAATGTTATGTGATGCTATATAAAAACAGATTATTAGACAGCAGCAGAAAAAGTTGCTCTGCAGACTTACTTGGTCAGCTTTTTTGTGTTTACTGAGTCTCTACGACGGCTGTAGAGGGAAGGTGCAGCGTACCTTGTACCGTTACATTCTCACCGCTCCCCGTTTCCCTGCCCAGCCCAGACTGTCACGGTCTGACGTCACCCTTGGAGATCATGTTGAGTTCGAGGACACAAAAAAAGCTCGGACATTCTGAGATTCATATCTATCTTTAGCACTTTAAAGCCAGGACCATGAAATCGTTTTCAGATGACTTCTTTTTTTTTTCTATCAAAGTAGTGTTGCCCTTGAACTTTATGGCATAAAAAAATTATATGATGTAGAAGTTAAATTAGAACAATTAATTGCATTATTATAAAATACATTTTGTAGAAGTTACATTAGAATCATTGATTGCATCATTTGTGATATAAGGAAGAGGATTAGGGCCACTGAAAAAAAAA